CAGTCAAAATCTGGCTCTTCGTGGTGGAAAAATAATGCCAATTCTTGAACTGGACTATCTCTAATACTAATTCTGTAAAGAATAAAAAAAACTACACTTAGTGTGTATGTGTGTGGATGGATAGATAGAGAGATAGAGAGATAGCTAGATAGATATAGATTAGATATAGATTTTTTTAAATTCCACTTTAGTTTTTCATACCCACTTTATTTATATGCTGCCTTATTCTTAAAAGGATTTCATGTGGCTCCCAGAAAATGTCTGGAACACCTAACTGCAGTTATGTTAGCATCACACAGGAGAGAGAAGTCATGGAAAAGGGAGAATGAGAGAAGACAAGATGCAGCCAGGTGGGTGGAGAACACACAGAATGAGCATGCTGAATTTTCAGTGGGTCACCATTGGCTCCAAGTGGCCTCCAAAGGAGGAGAGGCACAATCCTATCCCCAGTTTAGAGTGCTCACAGCATGATGACCAGAAGGAGTACAGTTATGCCTGCCATGAGGCTCCATAAAGCAGGCAATGCAGTGACCAAAGTCCTCAACAACACCTAGACTGAAGTGTCCCTTGGTTCATGGCATCTTGCAATCCAGGAGTGAAATTTCTCTCTTGGTATTTTGCAAATCATCAAAAGAAGCATACATTATTTTTGTAACTTGGACCTTTTTAATGGAAAAAAAAATGATGTCAGGCATAGGACTCCTGGAGAGGCCAGTGCTCTTATTGATACCTTGCCATCTTTGAGCCACCGGCTCCAGGAGAAGCCTGGCCCTGGCTGCTTTTGCTTAGCTGAGTGGAAGTGCCAGAGTGAGGCAGGGCAAAGACGGGCTACTCTGAGATCTGAAGGTCAAGGAATGTTTATCAGCTCAATGATGAGGTGTTAATTGGAAAAGAGCACTGATGCGCTGGGCATATGATTCATCATTGTCAACTGAATCCAACCGCTTTCTATCTAGCTTCCACACAGAAAAGAAGTCACATCTATAGACCTCAGTCATTCCCTGCATTGTCCCCAAAGCCTGAGGCGGTCCATGGTGCATGGTCAGTGAGAAATAAGCACATACTGAATGAATGATGTGCTCGCCTATGAAGAGCCAGAGGATCCAGCCAGAGGTAAGCCTACAAATACTCAGAGATCACCTGGGGGAATCCATTCCCAGCTGGGTCTTACCTTCTGTGTTCCGGCTGTGCAATTCTTACCCGTGTCAATGAAGAAGATGAGAAAGGGGGCCCAGAAAAAGAGGCCAAGCTCCCGAGCCATGCATCAAGGAAAACAAAAAGTGAGCAAGGAAGCTGAGGAGACAGTTGCCTAGTCTTGCTTTAGTCCATTGTTGCAGGGATTAACATGTGGGCAGCTCAAGATGGACACAGCTTTGGGTTCTGAAACGGCACAGCGACTTTCTTCCATGAACTGTGATTTCCAGTCAGCATCTGTCCCTTGCCCAGAACAAGGTTTTGCCCTCCTTTCCTAGAGGAGAGGCTTGTTCTGACAGAACCTTCTGGAACTCTGAATGTCTGCTTTCCATGCAGCAGCCCACCTTCACTCTACATAGATAAGAGTAGCAGGGTGCATTTTCTCCAAGAAGACCTTCAGAGACCAGCTGGCACCTTGGGCAGTCCGAGGAAAAGGTCTTGGACAGACTATGGAAATATTAAAACAGTCAGGCCAAGCAGCCTGAAGTCCTAATTGGCTCAGCGATGTAATGTCAAAATGTCACAGTCAAAGGGGCAGCTGGCAATAGCTTGGAAATGAAGAGACATTATTTTTGACTGGGAAGTGATATCACAGAAAAAGCAGTGGACAGAGAGGCAGGTGGCCTGAGGACGTGGCTGCTCCAGCACCAGCCAACTAGAGACTCTGAGGCAAGCCACTGTCATTCTGTGCCTTGATTTTCTCAACTGCAAAATGGAGTTGGCTTAATAGATAAGACTTGTATCCTTGAAACGAACACCTGCATTACAATGGCAATATGGGAGAGAGGGGCTAATACAACACAGCCCTTGCCAGTCACAACACATAAGACTGAGCACTGTAGCTTGTTCAGTCAAGAAACTCTTGGTAATGGTGCCAGCAGAAGTGGAGCTGCTGACGGAAAGGTTGGCAGTTTGATTCCACTGGGAAGCACCTCAGGTAAAGGTCTGGTGTTCTACTTCCAGAAAGACTCAGCCACTGAAAACCCTAGGGGACACAGTATTACTTTCACACATGTGGCGTCACCATGTGACAGTAAACTCAATGGCATCCCTTGGTGGTTCAAATGGTTAATGCATTTGGCTGCTGATTGGAAGGTTGGAGGCTCACATTCACACAAAAGACGCCTCAGAAGAAAGGCCAGACTATGAACTTCTAAAACAATCAGCTGAGGAAAACCCTGCAGAGCACAATTCTACATGGATATACATGATTCCTGGGTCAGAATTGAAAGCAACCTGGTTTGACTAGATGGTGAGTTGGTACTAAGGTGCTGATGTGTGTGCTTAGCTCCATGAGTTCTAGACAGCATCACTCCATCCATTGCCTTCTACACCACTCAATGCTCGCTCATAACTCGCCTTTCCTGGCCCACTGTGGCCACCTCTCTCCCATCATCCTGCTGACACTAGCTCACCATCAGAACTGGTCTCAGGACCTCTGAGTTCCACCTAACCAGTTTGGTTCTCTGTGAAACAATCCATCATGGCTCCCCTGACCTAAAACTCTCCTTTCCATGTGAAATTCCTTAGCTTGGCACGTAAAGACCTCACAAAGCTGCCCCCAGCCCACCTTCCCAGTCTACAGCGCTGAGCCTCATCCCCTATCCCTCCATTCCCTCCACGCCCCACACCTAGCTCTGCTCAGCCAGTTAACTCCACCTTGGAGCAAGTTCCTGTCCTTGGATTTCAAGAGGAGTCTACCTTACATTTCTGAGCTCAATTCAAATTCTTTTTGTTTCTGAAGCTGTTCTTCACCATTTCTGAACAATTGAGCCCATTTCTTGTTTTCAAGCTCTTGTATATATTTATTTTACTATATTCTATTTAAGGATCTCATAAAGAAAAAGGCCACAGCATGTGCCTGGTCTATCCTGAGAGTCTCCGTTCAAGGAATCTGCTCATTATGAAAACGTTCTCAATTCCCTCACACACACCCACACACCCCACATACTGTGCTGACCTCCATTCACCCTTGTGACAACATCCACATGGGGAACGGAATCCAGGTCACAGCTTACTTTCCACAGGGTTGAGGAAAATGCCTGGCCCCAAGTAGGTGCTCATGTGGCTGTGAGTTGATGCTGTTGGTAATTAGAGTTGTTGACAATGGTCCCATCAGAGGAGCAAAGGTCATACTGGTGCCTGAGTTCTGCTGGTCACCCCTCAGCCACCATCACCATCTTACACATGGAATATGTGATTCATTCTGTCCCTTGTGAATCATAGGTACAGAACTCAATAGCTCATTAAGCTTCCCTCACAGAGTCCCCTCATGGTGAAGCACAAAAGAGTGATAGGAAATGAGCAAGTCTGCAACTTCTCAGCTCACACATCAGGGCTGCAATCCCTCCTGAGCCAGCCAGACTTGGCTCTTCCCTTCTCCATGGTCTCACCATTTTCTCTCTCCTCCTCCAACATCTCAACTTTACATTCCCTCCCCTTTCTGTCTGCCATCTATTTACATCAACCTAACTGCACTTTCAGCCTCTTCAAGAGATACCTTACTGTAATCCTCAGTGAACAGAAGGCGAGCTGGACACCATCTCTGGTGACTGAGCTTGACACTCAGTGTCTGACTTGTTTCCTCAAGCAGCCTATGAGAGACTTATTCCAAATGAAGTGCTGAGTTCTCCCCAAGGGTTCCAATGAATGACACCTTCACTACCCCTAGCTGTGTTCAAGTCGTGCAATGTTGAGGTAGAAGAAGACAGGTACTACTCAGTGGCCTTGTGTGGTCTTTGGTCCACGTGGTCATCATGACATCCTTGATCCTTCTGTCGATGAACCAAGTGACTTTCACCAGCTTCAGGCCCAGGAAGGGCAGTCCACATGGAAAAGCTTCCAGAATTACCAGAAAGCAACAAGAAATCACTCAACCTGCATCATCGTTCTCAGGAGAGCTGCTGGCCCAGAGAAGACACAAGAAAGTTGGTCGGCAAGGTTACCTCAGGGAAGTCACTCACCCAGCCAGGACTACTTGCCTCAGTAGGGTTACCTGTTCATACCTATTTTCCCAAGATTCCCTGGTTTGGGCACCACAGTCCCACAGCCCAAGAACCCTTCAGTCTTAGGCAAGCTGAGATGTTTGTTCACTCTTGGCTTGTCCTACCAACATCATTGCAAACACTAGGAATCAAAGGTCAGCTTATGAAGTCAAGCTTTGTAACAAGTGGATAATGGAGAGGACACGGAATGCAGAGAAAGCCAGACGCATCTCAGACATAAGCAGTCAACTGTAAGGACACATGGGCAATGCTCCAAGCTGGTCCAGGTAGTCTCAGGTGGACCGCTTATGAGACTCACCTTGTGGAGAAGTGAGAATCTCCACGGTGCACAGGGTCCAGCTCAAATGCTCAGGGAATAAAGAAACTGACTAAGATGGCATCTCAGCTCAGTGGCCAGGGAACAGAACAGCCCCCATAAAAGACAAAAAAACAGACATCAACACTAACACATTAGCTTTCTGAAGTCCCAGGATACTTTCCAGCATTTGTTAGTGCCCTTTAGAATCGTGGGCATGTTTCTTTGACACTTTTTCCTCTTCACAGAGGAGGCCATGGTGCATTCAGTAGAAATGCCCCATATCCTCCACAGTCCCTCCACCTATGAGTGGCCCAGGGTCTCCACCAGACCCTTCACAGGTCACAAGCCACACCAAGCACTGGCTGAGATGTGCAATGGGGCAGAGCCTCTCCCCAGTGGTGACACAGAAGCACTCACTCATCCCCAACAGCCGGAGGTCGGCGCCAACGTCACACAGAATGGACAACAAGGCCTCATGGTAATAGCAGGGGGCAGGGACTCACCAGGACTCTGCCAGTCAGCGTCTGGGCGGATATCATCACGCCCGCCCAGTCCTTCACAGAGGTCATCCAGCCGACCTCGGCCGCCACTGCCTCCTCCTTTTCGTCCACGGGCTTGAGAGTGCCGTCAGCCTGGTTCGAGCCATTGTTAATCTTCTGGGCCTCCTGTTAACAGAGAACAAGGGGTAAAATTATAGACCAAGTAGATGTTAAAAACATAGCACACCCCTCAGGAATCCAAGCCCAAGGGGATGCTCAACCACAGGGATGCTGGAGTCACCTTCCCTGCCCTGTGGTCCCAAAGTGTGGCCATTAAGCCCAGGCTATCACAGTGGGAGTGGGGGGAAGCTGAGTGTGTGAATAAGCACCGGGACCAGCATGCACTCAGCGATGGACACAGGGCATAGGCACAAGTGTGCCTGCGGCCTTGTGCAGATACAGGGACACCATGGCACATGCGTGTGACAGAGCGTGCATGCACATTGGAGGAGATGAGGGGCCGGCTCAAAACCACACAGAAATGCCCTCTCAATAGCAGACTGCTCAAGGCTACGGTGAGGGAGGAGGAGGAGGCGAGGGGCACAGCTTTTATTATTTTTTTTAGAATGTTTTTTGTTTTCAAATAGTATTTTCTTTGTTCTTTCAACACTTTAGTGAGAATAAGAAAGATGAGATTATTTCCACCCTTTTAAAAAAAAAAAAAAAAGAAAAGAAAAAGAAAAAAGAAACCCATCGAGAAAGCAACCATGCTAGGCATGCAGAGCCACTAGGTGAAAGGGGTGGGGTGCTGTGAGCTTTGCCTACCCAGCCACACGCCTCTTCTCATATTAGCCACCCTGCGTTTTCTTTGAGGAAATTCCTATCTCGGTCTTTGTAGTTAGAGATTCTCACTGCCACATTACTCCAGGACTGAAGAAAGACAACTAGACCATTCTATACCCTGATGACCACGCCCCGCACCAGCCTTGTGAGACTCAAGCCTGGGTTTCTTCTAGACAGTTGGAAAGGCAACCCCACCCTGAGATGAAGTCTCACACAGGGAAGTAGAAGTACTAGGACATGTTGAAGAATTAAACTACACAATCAACCAACTTGATCTCATAGATATATACAGGCTTATGCACCCAAAAGAAGTTCAGTATACATTCATTCTTCTCTAACGTGCATAGAATATTCTCCAGAATAGATAATATTTTAGGTCACAAAGCAAATGAAAAAACATATAAATAATACAAAGCATTTTATCAGACCACAACTAGAAATAAACAACAAGAGGATAAAGTAGAAAAAAAACCATACATTTGGAAGCTGAACAACAAACACTGTGTTCGAACATGAGTGAGTAACAGAATAAATTAAAAAGTTTCTTGAAACAAATGACAATGAGAACACAACTTACCAAAACCTCTGGGAAACAGTAATCAGAGGTCAATTTATAGCAATAAGTAAACACATCAAAAGGGAAGAAAAATGATAATTGATTCTTTAATCTAACACTTCCAACAAGTTGAAAAAGAACAGTAAGCAAATCATCAACCTCTAAAAGAGATTGTAAAAATTAGGGCAGAAATAACTGAAATAGCAAACATAAAAACAATTAAAAAGATAAACAAGACTAGAAATTGGTTCATAAAAAAAAAAACAAATTGACAAACTATTAGCAAAACTAACAAAGGAAAAGAAAGAAAAGACACAAATAATCTGAATAACAGATGAAAGAGGGAATGTCACAATAGAACCAACTGAAATAAAAAATGTTAACAATGGAATATTATGAAAAGCCATGAAAATCCTAGAGGAAACAAATACTTAGAAACTCACAACCTGTCCAAACTGACAGGATGAAGTAGAACACCTGAACAGACTCATTACAAAAGAAGAAATTGAACAGATAATAAAACAGCTTCCAAGCAAAAAAAGTCCTGGACCAGATGGTTTTACTAATTGATCTTATCAAACATTCTGAGAAGAACTGCCTCCAATTCTACATAAAGTATTTCAGAAAACAGAGTAAGATGGAATCCTCCCAGACTTGTTCTATGAAACAAACACATCCTTGATACCAAAGTCTGGCAAAGATACCATCAAAATAAAAAAAAAAAAACACACACACACACACACACAAAACAAAAAACTATAGACCAGTATCTCTCAGGAACACAGATGCAAAAATTCTAACTAGAGACAGAGATAAACATAGAGATAGACATAGAGATCTAGATCTGCTGGCCAATAGAATCCAAAAGCACATTGAAAAAAAACAATTCACCATGACCAAGTGGAATTCATAACAGGTATGCAAGGATGGTTCAACCTAAGAAAAACAATCAATGTAATTCATCAAATTAACAAAGCAAAGTTCAAGAACCACATGGTACTATCAATTGATGCAGAAAAGGCCTTTACAAAATCCAACACCCTTTCCTGATTAAAGCACTCAACAAGATAGGAACTTTGTTGTTGTTGTTGTTGTTGTTATGTGTCATCAAGTCATCTGTGACTCATAACAACCCTACACAGAATAGCTCTGAAACATGCTGTATTCTGAGCCATTCTCACTGATTCAGACACCTACTCCCATTATCTCAGTTACTGTATCAATGCATCTTATTCAAGTTCTTCTTTTTCTGCACTGTCCCTCCACCCTTCTAAGCATGACGTCCTTTTCCAAGGACCAACTCCCTCATGGTCACAAGCCCAAAGAATGTGAGATACAGCTTCAAAATCCTAGCATCCAAGGAGAAACTTGGCTATACCCTCTCAAAGACTGACTTATTTGTTTTCTGGGTTGTCCACAGTATGTTCAAGACTCTTCTCCAGCACTATAGCTCAAAGGTGTCGATTCTTCTTCTGGCACCCTTAGTCATTGTCCAGCTTTCTGATGGATCGCAAGTAATTGCAAAGACCATGCCTGGATGGGAATTTCCTCAACACAGTGGAAAGTATATGTGCAAAACCAAGAGCCAACCTCATTCTCAATGGAGAGAGATTAAAGGTATTCCTTTAAGAACAGTAACTATGCAAGGATTTTCACCTCAGGTATTTAATACTGTATTGAAAGTCTTAATGAGAGCAGTAAGACAAGGGAAGAAAGAAGTATCCAAATTGGCAAAGAGGAAATAAAATTATCTCTATATGCATATGATAGAATAGTATACTTAAAAAACCCTAAAGACTCAGCAAGAAGACTACAGGACATAGTCGACCAATTCAGCAAAGTAGCAGGATACAAAATCAACATTAAAAAAAAATCAGCTGCATTTCTTTGCAATGACAAAGAGAATACAGAAATAGAGCTAAGGAAAAAATATCCATCACAATAGCTAATCACAAGATTCAATAACTGAAGCAAACTAACTAGAGACACAAAAGACCTATAAAACAGTACCACAGGACATTATGTTCAATGAAATATCTCAGTCACAAAAGGACAAATACTCCATAAAACCACTGTTATGAAGCAGGACTGACATGGGGTAATTGGGAGAAGAACAGGAAAAGAATGAATAATCAACACTGCATTAGAACAGATAAAGTAAAGATTTGTTTGAAAGGAGTATATGATTAGGCATTATATATATGACAATAGTCCAATATAACAGGTATGTTGTAAAGTGAGCTGGAGGAGGGCAACAATAAATGAATAAAAATCCAACTTTTTTGTAACCTTTCGTCAAATTCACAATTAAAATTTTAAAAAATATTTTTTTAAAAAAGTGTTAGAGCACTGGTATCACCATTTGAACACCTGGAACCAGCTGTGCCTGAAATTTACACTGGAGCTTTTCAATTGCAGAAGACAAGAAAAGTCTCCTTGAATGGTAAAGATACCACTAAAGAAACACCTCATCAAATAGCAGTGCCCAAACAGGTCCAAATTGTGTGCCATTGTCCTCTTCCCTGAATATTCTCCTCTAAGCCACGGCTTGTTCCCTCCCCTCTTTCAAGCTTTTGGCTCAAAAACAATCCCCCCATAAAGTCCTTCTCAACGATTCTTTTGACGATGCAGCCCTGCCTCCAACAGTATCACATTTCCTGCCTTATTCTTCTCCAGAGTATTGGAAGCCTATACTATACACTGTATTTCACTTATTCACTGCCTCCCACTCCCCACTAGGCTATAGTAAACTATACGGGAACAAAGCTTTCTGTCTTGTTCCCTGATGAATTCTAGATGCCTCAAAGATACCTTGCATTGAGTTGGCTCAATAAACATGAGTCAATGAAATAAAAATGTCACATCTATCAGTCCTGACTAAACAACTTGGAATTAAGGTTGCCCAGTTAAATCTCAATTTCAAATAAACAACACTTGTATTTTTAGTTCCAAATATTCCACATTGCTGTTAGGTGCCATCCAGTTGATTTTCAACTCATAGCAACCACGTGTGACAGAGTATAACCACCTTGCAGGGCTTCCTCAGAAGCCCTGGTGACGTGGTCCACAGGGTGCTGCACAGCTAACCCAAGTGGTGGCACCTCTCCGGTGGTTCAAATCCACCAGCAGCTCCATAGGAGCTTTGAAGGAGGTGCCTCTCACAGTTGGTGCCTCTACCAGTGGTTCCACAGGAGAAAGACAAGCAATCTCCTCTTGTGTGATTTACAGCCTCTGGAAAGCCAGCTGGAGGGTTAGCTATGTGTCAGTTCTGTCTCAGCAATGAGAATGAATGAACGGGCTGGCACACAGTCAGTGGTTAATCTCACCACCGTTTATTCCACTCTGTCCGTCTTGGCACTGCATGTAAACCAGCTTGTCTCACATGCTGGCAGACGTAAGAACCACCTGGGGAGCGTGTCAGATCACACATGGCTGCCCCCACACACACACCAATTTCTGAGTTAGTAAGCATGAGGTGGGTCCGAGACTCTGCCTCTCTAATACATGCTGCTGCTGCTGGGCTGGGGGACCACTTAGAGAATTACTGACTCTCATTATCCAGGCAGGCCTTGATTGCTGCCCTGACCTGAAAGGGGCTGTGGATCTTAACCCCCAGCTCCTTCCTGGCTCCATCGTCCACCCCGTGGCACAACTGTCTACTTATTTCAGAACTGGGGAACAGCAAGGCAGCTAGTGAGACAGTGGAAGCGGAGAGAAGGAAGGCTCTCCAGCAAAGGCTCCTGAGTTTCCTTTCCAGTAATGCCTCCTGGAGAGAGTTCTGAACTGG